TGGGAGTTCGGCCCCTTTAGAGAGGAGGACTCTTCTGTCCCTTTTTAGTTTTTGCTTCCGTTTTTTGAGGGACGGCCATTTTTTACCTTCCTGACCACCAGGGCGTCCACTGGAAACTGGTCAACATGTGCACGGCCTAGCGAAAGAAAAAAATAATTTCTATTCTCTTATCTACGGACGATCAAAGGCCATATTGCTGGTATGTTATTTCTTTGTTCTCTGTTTGTAAACCTTCTCGTTCCTTTGGGACAATGCGAACAATCATTTGTTTTGGGACATATGTAAATCATTTTAATATATGTATGCAAGTTGTTTGTCTTATTACATGTTTTGTTTGTTACGGTCACGTATCTCGTCTTTCTGTATTCGCATTCAGTGTTAGTGCATCAATGGCTACGCTAATACTCATATTAGTATTGGTGTGCTACTGGAAGGCTAAAACGCATTATTTTTCCTAACACAAAATAGTCAGTAAATATGTCTGGCCGATAACCAATACTAATAGATCTTTTATGCACCGTATCACAGATGAACGTAGCAGTTCACGGCACTCCACAACTATCCTTTGTATTTCTATGTAACGTGTATCAACTTATTAATTCACGCATGTATTTTCAACTATTTAAACAACCATTTTATTTCAAGGTAATTCACGTTGTTTATCCGTGCCACACTTGTCTTCAGTATATACCGTGAGTGCCAAATTCTCCAATTTCTGTTTTCTTATCTTTTCAGTAAATTGTAACTGTGTATTTTCTATTCTCAGTATACCTTTTTTTCTGATTTTCCTTAAAACTTGCTAATTACTCGCATATTCCGTCCATGATATTGTAACAAGTTTCGTGTAGAACTATACCTGTTGTCTCAAGTTTTTGATTAATTTCAGTAGAAACTATCCGCCATTCACTTCCTTATAAGAGGATCGATATTACAAAGAACTTTACAATTTGTCACTAAGGAATTTATTAATATTTTCTGTTTTAGAAGATATATTTTGCTATACTTATTCAGCTTTGGATTTTTGTGTAAACTGCTTCCATTGCCTGTTGTAACAATTCCAATGTACTTAAGTTCACATCTAACATATTATGCATTTTCAGGTTAAATTATTGCATTATTGTATAGGGAACATTAGAAAGAATTGTTCAAAATATTTTTAAAATATTCCTCTGCTCCAATATAAAACCAATTTTTACATGTAGCTATTCGAGAAAAAAAATTCACAAAATTACAAACCATTTCAAAGTCGAATAATAAAGAAGCACTTTATCTTGTGAACTCATGACTCAGCGCAAACGATTGGATGCTTTTGGAATTAAAATCGATAATTATGATTGAATTCTCAGGAAATTATCTGAAAAATATTTCCACAGTTGAAAAAAATGTCTTCTTTAATGAATTCTAAACATAATTAACACTGGACGTTCTTGATATTTCCTACACATTGTACAACACAAATTATATCTGTGCAGAAATACTGGGTTGAACCAATTTTTCCGAGTGTTCCCGTCGAAAAAATTACTATGCAAAATCCTTGATTCGGAAACTGATAACTGATAACGCGTGCTAAATACGGGATTACTTCAGACACACAAAATATATTTTTCATATATTTTACATCAAACTAATTGTTTTTATTTAAATGCTCTATTTGAAATGAGAACATAAAAATATCACTGTTTATTGCCATCATATTTATTTACGACTAATTATGTCATAATAATTAAAGAATACGGATAATTATGCCATAATAATTAAAGGGTAAAAAATATTTCTGCCGTAATAAATAAATAATACGAATATATTTGCCACAATAAAAAGGATAATTATGACATTAATTGCAAAATAGGTATATTTCATGCAAAATAATTAAAAATATTCACATATTTCCGCACGAATAATTAAATGGTAGAAACAATTATGCCATAAATAATGGATACAAATATTCCTGCCAGTATAATCCAAGTATACGAATGAAAAGGATACGAATATGCCTACCATAATAATCAATGGTTACGAATAGTTCTCCCAATAAATTATAGGATAAAAATAACTATGCCACAATATTTAATAGACACGACTATTTCTGCCGTGATAATTAATGGATACGAATATCTCTGCTATAATAATTAAGAAAAGACGAACACTTATGACATAATGATAAAAGGTTACTAATAATACGGCCATAAGTAAAAGATACGAATATTTCTGTCATAATATTTAAAGATAACTGCATCGAATACAATGAATGTACCGTGTGCCTAGAAAATATTTTATAAACAATATATCGTAAAAGGAATAATCATTTGCAATTTATTTGTATTGGAATAACATTTCAGCTTACCCTAAACGAAATAGTAATACGAGCATATTCGCTACTATTGAACATATTGTAAGGAGTACAGAAAAATTTTAATTTTCCGAGCAAGAAGACTAAGATCTTGGTTTTAGAATGCTTTTAATTTTAATGTGTTTTTTAATGGAGGTCACTTCAAAAATAAATGTGTTTTTTTAATGGAGTTCCCTTTAAAAAAATGTTTTTTTTTTAATGGAGGTCAATTCATAAATAAATATGCTTTTTAGTGGAGGTAATTTCAAAAATAAATGTTTTTTTTTATAGAAATCACTTAAAAATGTTTTTTTTGTCACTTCAAAAATAAATGTGTTTTTAATGGAGGTCACTTCAAAAATAAATATGGTTTTAATGGTGGTCACTTCAAAAATAAATGTGTTTTTTTAATGGAGATCACTTCAAAAATAAATATATTTTTTAATGGAATTCACTATAAAGTAAATAATTTTTTTAATGGAGGTCAATTCAAAAATAAATATGCTTTTTAGTGAACGTCACTTCAAAAATAAATGTGTTTTTTGATGGAGCTCATTTAAAAAAATATTATTTTTTTAATTGAGGTCACTTAAAAAATAAATGTTTTTTTTTGTCACTTCAAAAAGAGAGGTGTTTTTTAATGGAGGTATTGTGAGACCGGAACTACCTACACAATAGACTCTTCCAGGTCTATATGAAGTATGCGACACAACACTCTAGAGAGTGACAGAGTGTGACACAGAGAGACAGTGAGAGTCTTGTACGACTACCAGTATTGGACACTAACATATAGTAAGCTCCGCTTACACTATCTCTGTAACCTGTTGTTAATATATCTTTCTTACATCTAATCCGTGTTCCATGTTTTCCTTCTGTGGTCCCAACTTTGGCCCCACATCAGGAAGACACTTCAAAAATAAACGTTTATTTTTTAATGGAAGTCACTTCAAAAATGAATGTGTGTTTTTTTAATGGAGGTCACTTCAAAAACATGGGCGATCATGTCTCTTCTTATATTTCGTTTCTTTATAATCAATGAATTGCCAAGCATACTTTGGAGAGAGATTTACGTGGTTTCCCGGTGTTCGCCACTTGGAATTATTTGCTTTTCCTTTTTTTGAATAGATTCCCCTCAAAGATTGATATGCCAGTCTACCTTACGATTTCACCAATAAGTGTTCGGTGGTGAGAAGGTATAAATTCATGCCTTTCTGGAAACCATTACAGAAAATAGGAAAGCAACATATTATCTCAGAAGTTGAACTTGGCTAACGGTGCCTATAAACTTTGCTGTCACATATCGAAAAGCAATATGTTTATATAATGTGTGAGGTAAGTAATCAAACCTACTGTCATGTTTCAAACTTCGCACATTCGAAAAATGAACTCGATATTCGGAATTGAAAAACGTAGAAAGATCAGAAGCTTGCTTTTAGATTCTATTGCTGGCAACAATTTGTCCCCATATAAATAAAAAAAGCTTTTTCATTTTTACGCCATTTCGGATTTGAAAACAATCTTTTCTTCTCTAAAAGCGACATGCTTTAAATAGACTCAATGAAAAAATATAGCTGCAATGAATAGGTTTAGCACAAGTAACTGATATTAATGAATATTTTTAACGGACATTTACAATTTAAATTTGATTTGACTTACATCGAAGACGACAAACAGCTATCCTATCACATCGACTGCATTCAGAATTATAAAGTCATTGTGAAATCCACGATAATTTTCATGACTGCATAATAAGCTCTTCGCTACGGCTACATAAGTTTTTTTATAGTTTCCTTCTCGTAGACTTACTGCCAATCACGGCTAGGGAACTCTGTATGACCTTCTATTCAACACATAGCTGGATATTAAAAAAGTTCATGCATTAATATCTTAAAGAGTGACGCATTTACTTCTGTATATGTCAGGGTAAGTCAAGGATGTGTCTTGTCTTCGGCCTTTTGCAGTGTGGCCTGAATTGACAGTTTCTTTTTTAACAAAAAGTGAAAATTCATAATTTGTGACTTAAGGTTTCCATCGAAATTAAGTATGTTCTCTTTTCCAGTCATCAATCAACGCTATTTTCTGACACCTGTCGTCAAGCGATAAGAAATTTATTTAATATTTTAAAAAAATATAATAAATATGTCTACGACTCGTTAAAACAGAAATTGTTAATTTGCTTAATTGTGAACAAGATTAACCCAAAATTACATTTATATTTTTCTTAAAAATCATTGAAAAGCAACTTTCTTTTTTTTTCTAGGTGGGGGTCTCATTTTCTTACGCTGCAATTGAAGTAGCAAAATAGCTAGTAAAATCGTTGCCAAACAGTAAGTGACGAAATATATCGGTAGGCTGTATATGACAAAATATTCGCGACTGCATGCCCTAGATATAAGTCACCCTTTGCCATATATATATATATATATATATATATATATATATATATATATATATATATATATTGATGTATGTTTCGTTAAATAATATAGACTGTCATCTTTGATAATGCCTCGTGTAAGCCGAAAGCTTAGATAGGATTAAAAACATGTATTACTATGATTTTCTTTCGCTTTTCAATGATAATATTATTAAGCTTATCAAACAATATGAAGGTAATTACTTAAAATAAATAGACAAAACTTGTCTATATTATTTAATGAAAGATGCATCAATGAAAGACTTCTGCCTAAATACACACACACACACACACAGAGTATCTATCTATCTATCTATCTATCTATCTATCTATCTATCTATCTATATGTATATACATATATAGTATCAGATCTAAGGTATGCAGAGTGATGATGCTTGTCATAAATTGACTTTGAACTGTGTTGCGCGCATATACACTAAATTATAACTTCAAAGCACACTTCCCATTGTTTATAGCAGTGATTGGAAGGAAAATGTGTAGGGTGTTCTTTCAATAAACATGGCATGTGCAGCACGTTTTGACTAAGCACAACATTCTGCAGCTCCTACAACAACCACATTTCCCAGATCTCGTCCTTTGCAACTTGCTCCTCTTGAAGAATCAAAACCCACTTGAGAGAAACTAGATTTCAAGACGTTGAGGAAATCGAATTGAATGCGAGGAGGCAGCTGCACGCTATCCTCAAAACAGATTTTCAGGAAGGCTTCCACCAATGTGGACGATGCTGGATAATGTATATAATTTCAGAAAGTGGGATGAAGAGAAGCAGAGTGTGCCCGTGTGCCTTTCAGCAATAATAGGGGTACGACTATGTTTCTCTGTGTGTAATTGTATCTCGGTAGGTGGACCATATTTGAACGTTTTTAGTGTATTTTTTTTCTTTATAATTTGCATACTTGTATCTCAGTCCTGAAAATGTCATTGAGGTTTAGCTCTGCAACTGGCAAAGAGGTTATAGTTCAGGAACTGTTTTTTGTGGTCACTTCGTTTTCATATCTCAGGCTGTTAATCTTGTGTACAGGGAATGCTGATCACAATCTCCTCGGTCTATGCAGCTGGGTTGGTCACACCTGGGTTGAGGTACTTTCAGAAATGGTGATTTGGTTTTTCATCGGGAATATTTTAAGTGATGGAAATACAATATGTAACGACCATAAGAAATTAATTGTGAGATTAAAACCATGTTCTTATATAGAAGTACGGAAATTAGAAAAAAACAGATATTTTAATTGTGATACCAAAACTCAATGTTACGTAGTGTTTATCTGGTTAGATTAAACGAACTTTTAACTTTTATAACCGTATCAAATAGACAACTAACTGAAAGTCTACAAGCCAAAAACTAATATTATGACTTTTTCCCCAGAATTTTGTTTCTACGATTTTCCCCTTCACTTTATGTTGAAGCTTGAATAAGCATGGAATAATAATAATACAACACAAAATGTACGTAACAAAATGTATTGAAACAATGAAAAAAGGTACACAATATTTACAGGTAGTTTTGGTATATTCTTGGGAAGACTGTTCCTGCAGAATGGGTTGACTAAGTCGCAGTCGGGCAGAGTCTCTGGATTCGATCTCTTAATCTTCCGTCGTCTTCCGGTACCAACCCATATTTATATGGTCGGTACTCCACTTATGTAAATTAGGTGTATCATACACAACACTTTAAAATAAAATATTCGTGTTATATTAAGATTTGCATAAAGTAACCAAATAAAATTCCTTGTCGTTTTTACGTCGGGTTGGAAAAAAGTGATTCTGATACGCAAATGAGTGCGTCACTTGCCGAGAAATTGGCGTAGGTGGAGTCGGGATATTGCTCGTGACCAATGCTGGTGCGTTGCGCACACGTATCAGTCATAGATCGAGTAGCAGCGAGAAAACATGGCGGTGTCAAAGCAGCTCGTTCGGGGTTGTATATTTCATGACTCTAATGCGGGAGTCTCCGTAGCCACCTCAACTCGCCATATACGTCAAGCATTTGGGGATAAATTGGTGACTGAAGGAACCGCCCGTCATTGGCCACAGAATTTCAGGTCACGACATATGTCACTTTGCGCTGACCCCCGGCTCAAGACCAGATAAAGATCCAGTATGATGAGGCAGTGAAGGTGTCCATAAAGGAAGACAGGAGCTACACCTGTAGTGAGCTTGCCGAGTGCTTCGAAGATCCTTATGAAATAGTCACACTTCACTTATACCCCATAGGGAAGTCGTAAAAGTTTTGCAAGTATGTGCACCTTACACTATTAGAAGCCAACAAGCAACAATGTTTGCCGGTCCTTTCTCGGCACCGACACTTACCCATATTTGATGGAATCCATATCAGTGACAAAAAGTAGTTCCTGTTTGACTCTCGCAAGCGTGCTAGAATTTGGTTGTCTACGGAAGCCTTCAGTCACACTACAAGATCTCCTGCACACACACGCCATATCATGCTCTTTATCTGCTGCCATAGTCGGTAAGTAGTGCACTATGAACTGCTATCAACGATCCAACCCATCATTGTGGACCTATACTCGAAGCATTTGGAACGTGTGCAACAAACACTGAAACAGAAGAAGCCAGCATTGGTTAATCTCAACGGTGTACTGTTCATCCATGTTAATACCAGGCCTCCTACTGCGCGGTGGCAATGTATAACATACGGTGATTTGGCTACGAGACAATGTGAACATTTTCCTTACTCACTGTATCTTGCACCGAAAGTTTACCATCTCCTGAACAACAACCTTCGTGGGAAAGAATTCGCTAATAAGGAATACTTGCATCAGGTATTCATAGAATTTACTGCGTACGTGACATTTTACCGCCAATTCATTACGCCCATGAAGACACATTGGAAAAAGGCTGTGGATGCCGATGGGGATAAACGGTATGACACATTTTGGAGTATAACTTTTTTTCTAATAAATAAAAAACGGCAAACACATTCTGGTTACTTTGTAGTATAAACAGTTTCGTCAAGGCGTCATTAATTTTAGCCTGCTGACAACACTGAGAAATCCTCACTAAGCCCATAGTTCAATTTCATCCCTGTGTAAATTACTACAATAAAGAACCAGTAAAAATATTGATTTTAAAAATAGCATAAAATTGAAATATCTTCTGTAATTAAATGTCATGCTTAATGTTCAGAATTTTGATGACATTTGCATACACTTTGGATGCAATGAATACATTTTTCAAATCCATGATAAATTTTTGTAAAGATCTTGAGTGTGTGCTAAATTGCAGATCTTTTTAAATGATGCAATATGAGACCCGGAAAACCAGAGAAACGTTGAATTTTAAAGTTATAGTGTACACTATAATTATAAGATATGGTATTACACTGGTTATGCTAGAAAAAAATACACATCCACCTCTATATGTATACGCTACAATTTTTACTCCTAATTTCATCAAATAGGAATTCTTCTTGCAGACTAGTTATTTGAAAACTTTAGGTATTTTAATCGCTACAGTTCTTGACAGGTTTAAACCCATTTGCCTATGGGTGACTAAACGTGTCGATCTCATTAAATCTTTACAAGCATTGCATTAAAAAAATAGAAACACGTTTATTGGTCGAAATGTCCAAAATCTTGATAGATATAGCAACGCAAATATTTCAGAAAGACGCATGCCAGGGCATTTGGTCGGGGTGAGTGAGGAGGAAGGCAGGGCTGTTCGTTATTTGATAACTGTCTTCAATTGTGACAATTGGAATCGTGTGGAAAACACTAAACGCGAGATTGAAAGAATTGAAGATAGAGGAATCAACATTTTGTAAACTTCTGCCATTACTGGGATCTAAACGATATTGAGTTAGAGGCAGTAGGTTTAAATTATGTCGATGGCATTATTTCCCTAGTGACAATCACTTCACATCGAGTGTCAATATGAAATTGGAAGAGACTATGAGAGAAAGAGATTCTGAATATTTCGTCTGTATCTTAGGCAACGTTGATGATTTGAAATATTTACGAGGTCAAATTAGGAAATATTCATATATAAAATAAGTTGATATCTCTAGAATTGTAATTGTGGATTTATTGGAATATTAATTACAACACACAAAATATATATATATATATATATATATATATATATATATATATATATATATATATATAATCGTGAAACGCAGGTTACAAACTCATACCCGTACAATGGAATATGCTAGCTCTATCTCTGACACTGAGCACTTTCCAATAAGTACCGCGCCGCCCATAGTTTATGCAAAACTAGGTAATCCGCATGTAGACCCAAGGAGGATGATATCCGGAGAGCTCAATGTAAATTAGAGCCGATATGTTTTAATAAAAAAACAGACCACTTTCAGGTTCCATGTAGAAATTATCATTACAACCCCTTTAAAGGGCCCTGGATCATCAGACTTTACTTCCAAAAGTTGAAATAAAAAATGAAATTTTCATTTTTCATTTCAAACTTTGGAAGTAAAGTCTGATGATCCTGAGCCCTTTTAAAGGGGTTGTGGTGAAATAACTTATTACATGGAACCTTAAATGGTCTGTTTTATTCATATATATATATATATATATATATATATATATGTATCTGTGTGTGTAAAGAAATATAGTTTTAAGGTGTGCTATATTTATGGGATAAAGTGCTCAAATTCAGAGATAGAGTGTGTAAATATAAATATAAAAGTGAATGTTGAAGTCAACACTCCAGAGGCGACAGGCTATTTCATGCTGGTTGCAATCGTCAGTCCGCCTGACGATTGCGTCTATCATGAAATAGCCTGTCGCCTCTAAGTGTTGACTTTAATGTTCACTGTATATCTATCTATCTATCTATCTATCTATCTATCTGTCTGTCTGTCTGTCTATCTAACTACACACAAACACACACACACACACACACACACACACACATATATATATATATATATTCTATTTTTAAGTGATTTTTTTAGATATTTTATTTAAATAAATGGTTTCTTGTTGATTAAACAGCATTAAATACATTTACCGGCCGAAAATAAAATTATGTCGATAAAAATAACGTATAAACAGAATTTTTTTTTTTTTAAATAATTGTCGGACTTAATCCATTTCATTTTTATATATATATATATATATATATATATATATATATATATATATATTATGATGGGCTGAAGGTAAGTTTAAGCGTATTTATTTTTTAGATAAACACACAGTGACTGAGAGTACTCGATTCAATTTACCGAAGAGTCATGAATTATTAACCGTAATAGTCACTGTTTACTACCCCACACTTCCTTCCCATATTTTTTATATATTAATGCGATATCTCAGCCATAAATGCCCTCGTAAATATGCAAAATGATACAGAACTGATAATATTTACACTGATAATGTTAAATGCTCATTAAATTTATAGAACTTCTTTTATTTACCCTGTTTCTTTCAGGACATAGATGATCATAGCTTTCCATTTCTTTCTATCCCTAGCAGCTCTCAATAAGTTTTGTCTTTTTTGTTATTTTTTCTAGACCCTCTTCCACTATCCACTTGCTCAATCTCGTTAAGTATGCCATGCGGTGCATTCCCTTTTCCCGTTTCTCTCTGACCGCCCTGTCAGTATCAGATTTTCCAAGCCCTCCTTTCTCATTACGTGTTCTAGAAATTTCAGCTGCCTCTTTCTGATGTTAAGTATATGTTTCCTCTTTGTCTTTATCTTCTCCAAAACCTCAACATTGCTCACATGTTCGGTCCATGGTGTCCTTAGCTTCCGTCTGTAGAACAATACATCCGTTGCCACGAGTCTCTTCTTCATCTTTGAGGATACCGTTCAGCATTCGCTGTCGTAAACGAGGACAGATATCACGTAGCAGTTCAGTACTCTTTACTTTGTTACCAACAAAACGATCCTGTCTAGTAATACGCTGCTTAGCTTTTGGTATGCGTCTTTGGTCATTCCAGTACGTCTTCCTATCTCAGCGTCGAACTTACCGTCGTCTTTCCGAACACTTCCTAGATATTTAAATTTATGTATCTGCTTGATTTTAGTGCGCTGACCTGTAAATCGCATTTGCGTCTCATCTTTTTTGCTGATGACACTATATCCTGTTTTCTTGCAGTTTATACTTAGTCCTTTCTCGTTCTCCCTCTCTACCATCTGTAAGAGGATTTGTAGTTCTCTTTCCGTGTCTGAATTCAGCACTGTGGCATCTGCGTATTTTATGGCTGTTATGATGATGGCCGCCAGTGATGAATCCTGGTAAGATTTCTAGTTCTTTTAAAATTGTCTCGCTGTATGGGTTAAAAAGTCCGGTGAGAAGATTCATCCTTGCTATACAACTATTTTTATTTTTGCTGAACTCATTTTTTTATTTTTATGCAGGCAGTTTGCTGCCAGTAGATATTTTAAGTTTATAGATCACGATTACTAAATCAATAAAATGTTTTACAATTTAGCATAACGCTTATACACGCACAGATTGGTATCAGGTAGTCGTACTTAAATTCCTAGCCCGTCAGTTTCGTTGTAGTACCCTTAGAAAACGCAGGAATCTATTTGTTCTATCTGCCAATTCTGAATTAAACATCAAGGTAGTCTGATATATTTTTGCCTTGGATCACAGTTTCTACAGATTGAAAGTCAAAATCAAAAAGGTGGAAAAAGACACGGGAAAGTACTCTTTCCGCATAAGACATGATGAGTTATAAACAATAAAAAAAACGAATTCTATGTAGACCCTAAGATTTGAACACACTTGCCTTAAAAATAAAGCTACTGCGTTTAATCAAAAACCCAGCCTGGTGTAAAATCGGATGAGAAAGTGTCTTGCTAAATAAATCAATTGGAATTATGTGAACTGATTTCCTTCCCTTGTCTAATCAGAAAACCAATATACATGTCAGACAGGGGTAGCAGTAAATAGGATATCAACTCAGATCAGTGGAGATTCTTTAATTCATTTTTATCCAAACTGCTTACTTAACAGACATATAAATATGAAGTTAAAGTTGAATACAAAATTCAGAAGCTGGGGAGTGGGGACGCTATGAAATGTATAATGACAGTTATTTTTTTATACCTATATCTCCGTTCATGACATCGATAACGTCCCTCAACATTTTCCTGTCTTTGTTTTCTCTAAGTAACCTTTTTACCGTTTTGTCTATATTCTGTTAGAAAATTACACTTAATCTTATAAAATTGCTCTTTATCGCAGCTTATATTGCCTTCCGTGTGAAAGAGGTAAATTCGTCATATGCTCATTTCTAATCTTTTATCCCTGAAATTTTAGGCATCAATCTCCACTTGAAAGGATCATGTTCTTGTAGTCCCTATGTAGATGAAGACATATTTCGCTTCAAGTTTCGTCTTTATCTTTAAAGAAATAGTCCAACATTCACCGATATGAGTTCTTACTTATCATTTTAATATCCTTTTCTTTGTTTATAGTGATTTTCCAAGCGAAATTAAAGGACACCCAGTGAGGATCGAACTCACTACTCAGCCGTAATTGTTCTAGCGAGACAAGCTTGCTAACCATTACACCACCTCGAGGTGCCATTTTTCTTTGTTTATAATGATATTATCCAGTCTCTTAATTGTTTGCTTATTTTCTAGAAGATACATTTTTTTAATTAACATTATCATCATTTATTTGTTTGTTTTTTTTTTTTTTTTACAGTATACCAAACTCAATAGGTTATTTAATACCGACAATATTTTTATTGCTCGTATTTTTTTTTCAAAAATATATTTCTGGTAATTTTTTTTTCAAACATTTATTGCTGGTAATTTTTTTTTTTTGAAAAATATATTTGCATTTTCAAAAATGTATTGTGTTAATTGTTTTCATGAAAAATGTATTGCTGTTAATTTTTTTTTCAAAAATATATTGCTGATAATTTTTTTTTTAAATGTATTCATGGTATTTTTTTTTAAATGTATTGATGGTATTTTTTTAAATGTATTGATGGTAATTTTTTTTTAATGTATTGTTGTAATTTTTTATTTCAAAAATACATTGCTGATAATTTCTTTTGGGAAAAATATATTGTTGGTAAATTTTTTGTTCAAATATATATTGCTGCTAATGTTTTTGAAAAATATATTGTTGGTAAATTTTTTGTTCAAATATATATTGCTGCTAATGTTTTTGAAAAATATATTGTTGGTAAATTTTTTGTTCAAATATATATTGCTGCTAATGTTTTTGAAAAATATATTGCTGGTAAATTTTTTGTTCAAATATATATTGCTGCTAATGTTTTTGAAAAATATATTGCTGGTAATTTTTTTGTTCAAATATATATTGCTGCTAATGTTTTTGAAAAATATATTGCTGGTAAATTTTTTGTTCAAATTTATATTGCTGCTAATGTTTTTGAAAAATATATTGTTGGTAAATTTTTTGTTCAAATTTATATTGCTGCTAATGTTTTTGAAAAATATATTGCTGGTAAATTTTTTGTTCAAATTTATATTGCTGCTAATGTTTATGAAAAATATATTGTTGGTAAATTTTTTTCAAAAATATTGCTGGCAACATTCTTTTCAAAATGTATTGCTCGAATTTTTTTCTCAAAAAAGTATTCATACTAAAAAATTTACAAAAAAAATGTATTGCTGCTATTCAAACCTATTTTTATATTTTCACAGTGTTTTGACCTCTTTTATGGGTTAACTATTTTCCCCTAGCTGAAAACAAGACAGTTGCTACCACCCCAGGTCAGGATGGACCTGGGGACACCACTAATTAAGAAGTGGTTCCACACTCCTCAAAACCTTCTGACCGAAAGCCTTGATGTCGGATGCTTTTTATCGTCTTACCGAGGATGCCCATTAGGGGAAGGGCTTACCTCCCTATAGAGGTACGATCGGCGTATTCTACAATCCCAGCCGATAGGGCGGCAGCATTTATTCAATATCTGTCTATATTTCTGAGATGGGGAATTGCAATTATTTACCTTATTTACAATTTTTGGATTGCTGTCTTCATCTTTATTGCCATATTCACGACTTTTCGGCCGTTGTAAGTTCCAGCCTTCTTCAGGTGATTGGAATTTCGAAGGCACCGTTTATTTCATCCACCAGAGTTGATTGTTCTAGTTGCACGTGCCATGCCTCTCTCGGATATCTCAGTTATCTCCCCTTAACTCAGCTCTTCAAGTTTGTGTTTACCACTGCAACAGCCAGTTATTGAACTCACAACTCGGAAAAATAGAAAAGATCTGTGGTCCATATAATGTTTCGACACTTCGCAGGCACCTCTTCCGGGTAAGACGTTCGATAGAGGAGAACATGACTAAGGAATGTGTGTACGCCATCCCATACATCTGTGGTAAGAAGTATAAAGGATAACCAGGCCGCCTCTTAAGACTACAAGAACACCGTAAAGCCGTAACGCGAGGTGAATTAGAAAAATCAGTACATACGGAGGAAATACGGAGATCGCCGACACTTGCGGGATGAGTTTGATATAATAAACAGAGAACATCACTGGAAAAATACGAAAACTCAATGAATCAGTACAGCATAGAAACGAATACAATATGGGAACCTGTAATACGGAGTGTTATAGGTAAACAATAATAATAATAACATTGCAATACGAGCTCTGGTAAAAAAAAAAAGAAACTGATACTGAGACATTAATTTTATAAGGTCCAACAATTCATGCACTAATGTCCTCAATGGATAAAAGCCTTGTTTATTTTAAACCAAAGAGTTGTGAGTTCAATATCTGGCTACTGCAATGGTGAAAATTAAAGGGAGATAACATAGATATCCGAAATACGCATGGTGCGACTAAAACAATCTACCCCGGTCGACGAAATAAAGGGTTCAGTTCGAAATTCTAATCACCTTAAGAAGACCGGAGTATTAATATAGATGAGGAAAACAGTCCAAATAATGTAAATAATAATTTATTCAGTTAGTGCATTTTGATCCGCTGTAGTCAACACTTTGTTTTAATTATGGTTCATAGTGACATTCAGGGGAAACTAGTGCATGGTCTTGACGCTTCCTTTTGCACTAGGGATGTCTCAGAAGTCTCCTCCTCCCACTGATAAAGCCATTGACATTTGAGATGCAGCTCATACACCCAGGCTGGCGACGGGCCGATGGCCACCTGGAAGAAGTGGGTTATGGAACGGGGCTCACCTTCAATGAATGGATCGGAAAGCTTTCCGACTACCCTCACGCTGTTAGTGGCGGCAGGTTGATGTCGTTGACCGGGGTGTGACCGGTGCTGTTACATGTAGGCTGTGGATCAATATAGCTTCGCATCGTAATTCACCTAATTAAAGCAGAGTCGACCGCTTCGGTGCAAACCTGCTACCAGTGACTATACACCCATGCACACCTTGCTAATTATGTATACCTTCAAATGATTGTTTAAGCCTTTTCGTTATCTGTTACTGTACGAGCCAGATGGTTAAATTATTGTATGCTCTTGATTTTGACCACCAAATAGGTAGCTTCCACCTTAGATGCTTTCTTTGAGAATCTTGCTTACCGTTTTCTTGGTGCTTACAGTCAGTAATTTCTTCATGTTTTACTTCACTATCTCCTTTTAGTGTCTATCATAAATGCAGAACTATGACATTATTCAGTTAAATTAATGTTCATGGCAACACTAAAGATCGAAGTTACATTGGGTTATCGCAAGATGCCACTCAAATCTAAATGAGGTTTTAAGAAACATGAAAACAATGAGTACTGAATTATTAAAGTAATCTGTCTATATTTCTGATATGAAGTATTATGTACACTATTTACATTATTCGGACTATTGTCCTCATCTTTGTCGCCATATCCTCAAGGACACACGGCACAGTGGATAAAGGCATTGGTTAGATACAATGACAGGATCCAAAGTGTGTTAGTTCAATACCCGGTTAAGGCAGTGGAGAACTTGCAAAGAGGAATTAACAGGAGATAACTGATAACTGGAATGTCGAACTGAACCTTTTATTTCGTTCACTGGGGTAGAATGTTCTAGTTCCATGTGGTATGTTTGTAATGGATGTCAGTTATCAGTTATCTCCTGTTAATTCCCCTCTCCAAGTTCTCCGCAGCCTTAACCGGGTATTGAACTCACACTCTTTGGGTCCTGTCACTGGATCTAACCAATGTGGGAGGAGAACTTGGAGAGGGGAATTAACAGGAGATAACTGATAACTGACATCCATTAGACATGGCACGTGGAACTAGAACAGTCTACGTCAGTAATCGAAATAAAGGGTTAAGTTCAACATTCGAATCACCTGACGTAGGCCGGAGCGTACAACGGCCGAAACGTTGGAATACATATACGCGACAAAGATGAGGAAAATAGTCCGAATAATGTAAATAGTTTATTAACGTAATATCAGTCATCCTATATGGCAGTGAATGCTAGATTGTCTCCTTAAAAATGAAGAAGAGACTTAAATAAGCAGCAATGTGGTTCTACTGAGGGATGCTGAGAATACCATGGACTGAACACGCGAGTAACAATGAGAAAATGAAAAAAGGGCATTTATACTCAGCATCAGTAAGAGACATTTTAAATTTCTAGATAATATAATGAGGAAAATAGGCTTATAAAATTTAACACTCATAGGACGTATTGAAGACAAGAACGGCAAAGGCAAATAGCACTTACCCTACGTAACTAGTCTGTGTAACTGTGTGGCAGAATTTTTTTATGAAAGATAACAAAAAGGCAATATTCAATAAAAGCTATAAAGGACAAGAAATTGTGAGGAGCCATGACCATCAACACAGTGAAGGTACTCGACACGTTGAAGAAAAAGAATTTCCAATACAGGCAAACCTTCCGATATCTAAATTTTTAACCTTGTCTAGCGTTGTACAATAATAGGCTAAACTTGGCAAATTTCAAATATATATATATATATATATATATATATGTGTGTAGAGTGAGAGAGAGAGAGAGAGAGAGAGAGAGAGAGAGAGAGAGATGGGTAGAGAGAAAGGGTGTCAGAGAGAGGGGACGAGTGTCCGGAATGAAAAAGGGACGTAACTTGTACTTGCTTGTTTTCTCATAGGAAAGCTCAAAGAAAAAAATTACTGAGTAGATAATTAAGTAAAGTAAGTGCGCCAAAAGTGACATCTTGTGCGCTTCCCAAGACGAATCTAAATAGAAGAAAGTATGACAAACGCAAGTTGACTTAGGCTCTGTGTATTTATCGGCTTACTGCCTGCCTGACAAGCCACTGGGCTTACACGCTTTTGTTATGACGTATTAATTCTCTCAATTGATCGAGCTTCTTGACTGTTATGCCTGGAATCAAGCCAACTATGAAACCGCCCACATACAACACACACACACACACACACACACTTTTAATTTTCTTCTTTTATTCCTTTATTTCTTCATATATTCAGTTTGTTTCTTTCTTCCCTTCACTGGATGTATTGTTATTTTATTGTTTCTTTCTTTCCATCTTTCCTGTTATACTGATTCTAATTGTTTCATTTCATTTATTACTTGCGGATTTCTGTCTTTTTCTTTCTCCATTCATTCTTTTATGCATTATTTCTGTGTTTTCTCGCCTTTCCTTGTTTTATTCTTGTAAGCATTTTCATCCTTTTATTGCTTGATTTCATTGATCTTTCTTTCTTTCTTTCTTTCTTTCTTTCTTTCTTTCTTTCTTTCTTTCTTTCTTTCCATTTCAATATAATTTATTTTCTTCCTTTTTTCATTGATTTCATTTTTCATTCGCTTGCTTCTTTGATGTTAGATTCTTCTTTTTTCTTTCTTTCTTTCAAACTCCGTATAAGGTTTTCTTCTTTTTTCGTTTATATCAATTTACTTTTACTTTTTTTATTTTCTTTCTTTCTTTCTTTCTTTCTTTCATTCTTTCTTTCTTTCTTTCTTTCTTTTTCTTAATATATTGCCGTGTCGTCCCCAATGTTTGAATATTTCTTTCATTCTTATTTTCCACGCTATATTTTCTTCTTCTTTTTCCACACAGTTATCTTCTTTCTTTTTTCTTAATTTCTATATTTTAATTTTAATTGATTTAATATTTCCTTTCTTGTTCTTCTCTTTTTTTATTCTTACTTTCTGAAATAAATTTTAATTGTTTCTTTTACTAAATATCACTTTAAACTTTCTTTATTCTTTCATTTGCTAAATCGTTCATTTAACTTTCTTTCTTCTCTTCTTTCTTTCTATATTGTGATTGCTTCAGGTTCCTTTCTATTCTTTCTTTCTTTACCTTCTTCTTTTGCTCATTTTCTTTCTTCCTTCTCTTCATTCGCTCCTATTTTCTTTTACTTGATTCTATATTTATTTCCCTCATTATTGTTCTGTTCCTTTTCTTCATTGATAATATATTTTTCTGTTTATCATTCCTTTGTTTTTCTTTCATTCACCTTTCGTTCTTCCATTCTTTAAATAATATGTTTCCTTCCTTTTCTCATAGATTTAATATTTTTCTTCCTATCTTTCTTTTTATAATGATTTATTCCTGTTATTCACTGCTTTAATCTTAGTTCGTTCCTTTATTTTATTTCTTTAGTTATTCTTTCTTTTCTAGTTTCTTTCATCGTTAAATAGTTCTCTTTCTTTTCTTTTTTTATTTCAATGTTGTCATCTTTCTTCTTTCTTAGATTCCTTCCTTGAAGTTTACATTCAGTTTTTCTTTGACTGCTTCTTTCTATTTTTCATTTGCTTTATGTATTGCTTGTCTTCATTCTTTCTTTTAGATGTTGCTTTTTTATTCAATGTTTAATCTCTCTTTCTTTGCTTAAATCTTTCATTATCGTTCGTTATTTTATTGATTCTTTTTCTTTCTTTTTCTTATACTCATTTTTTTTATTTTCTTTTACTCTGTTTTTCTTCTTCTATGGATCTTTCCTTCTTTCTTGTTGTTTGTTTTTTTTTCTTTCTTTCCTTCTGAACGTTACTCTCTTTCTTTTTCCATTCATTTAATTCTCTCTTTCTTTGTTTCTTTCTTTCTTTTCTTACGCCTCTCATTGGCGCCTATCTTTCTTTTTCTTTTTTTTTTTCTTTCTCGCTTTTTTATCTTTCATCTTTCTTCTTTCCTGAATTTCATATTTCTTTCTTTCTTTCTTTCTTTCTTTCTTTGCTTACACCTCGCATTGGTGCCTATCTTTCTTTCTCGCTTTTTTTTATTTTTATTTTTCCCTGAATTTCATATTTCTTTCTTCTTTTTGTCTTTCTTTCTTTGCTTACACCCCTCATTCATGCCTATCTTTCTTTCTTTTTCTTTCTTTCTTTCTTTTTTTTCTCGCTTTTTTATTTTTCTTCTTTCTTGTTTCTTGAACTTCATATTTCTTTCTTTCTTTCTTTCTTTCTTTCTTTCTTTCTTTCTTTCTTTGCTTCCACCCCTCATTGGTGCCTATCTTTCTATCTTTTACTTTCTTTCTTTTTTTCTATTTCTTTCTCTTTTTTTTCTTATTTCTTCTTTCCTGAATTTCATATTTCTTTCTTCTTTCTTTCTTTCTTTCTTTCTTTCTGTTTCTCATTTTGATATTTTGCTTAATTCATCTTCTTCATTGATTTCATCTTTCTTTTATTCTTTTCATATTCGCTTACTTCCTTCATCGAAGTCCTTCCTTTGTTTTGCTCCCTTCCTTCGTCTTTTTTTTCTTTTTCATTCCTTTCTTTCTTGAAACATATGTGAGTGTCTTTCTGGTTTCTTCCATATTCATTATCAGTCTTGTTCAACTTCCCTCCGATAACGGCCTGTTCGTCCAACTTCTCATCTGCATTTTATGTCTCGTCATGATGTCCATCCTATTTCGTTCGTCTGCAAAATCAATAACTAAATAAATAGAAGATTCTAATCACTCTCCACTTTCTACTTATTTTTCAACCTTTGATTTTCCCTCGTAGATTCTCGTCTTTCGATGTTCTCCACCCATTCGTTACTTACTCTCCCATTCTACTCAGCTTCTCAATCTTTCTTTTATTTCAGTTCCGCTGTCAATCAATCAAATTCTCTCCTTATATCCAGTGTCGAATATTTTTTACACTTCCGTTCTTTCCTCATTTTCAAACGATTTACTCACCTTTCAAAAAGAAAAAAAAGAAGTTTTCATGCAACTTGTATTTACATATAGATCTTTCTTTCTTTATTTTCCTTCGCCTCGTTCGAGTATAACCAACTTTATATTATTTTATATGAATGGCCAACGAGCGTGACTGTCATTCTTTGCCTATTTCAGAGATATTGTCCAAAGTTCAAGAGACTTACCATAAATAGGTATTTTGTATCAGAATATTCGGAGAGGTACATAGCGATATACAAAGACGGAGATAGATAGATAGATAGATAGATAGATAGATAGATAGATAGATAGATAGATAGATAGAAATGATCTTACTGAAATAGATAGATAGATAGACAGACAAACAAAGAGACCGGCAGACACAAAATACAGTGAATGGTATATATAGATATATAGAGAGGTAAATGTATGGATAGAACGAAAGAACTTACTAAAATAGATAGGCAGAGATTAGATAGATAGATAGATAGATAGATAGATAGATAGATAGATAGATAGATAGATAGATAGATAGATATAAATGAAGTGAATGAAATAGCTTGTTAGATAGAGAAATATATAGAGATCGACATCAAGTAAAGAGAAGCCCAATTAGCAAGCTAGCTGGATAGGTGTGTAGAGAGAAATAAATAAATGAAGTGACTGAAATAGATAGATAGATAGATAGATAGATAGATAGATAGATAGATAGATAGGCATAAGTAAATGAGATAGAACGCTATTTAGATAGAGAAATATATAGACATCGACATAAAGTAAATGAGAAGTAATTTAGCTAGATATGCAGACAGACAGAAATGAAGTGCCTGATATAGATAGATAGATACATAGATAGACAGACAGACAGAAAAATATGTAGATAAATAGACAGAAGTGAATTATATATATATATATATATATATATATATATATATATATATATATATATATATATATATATATATAGTGTGAGAGAGATAGAGACAGAGAGTGAGAGAGATTTGATTAATTTGAAATTCTATCTAGCATTTCAGGTCGTTTCGTATATTTTTAATATTCACCTAAGGTAAAACCCATGAGTCACCTAAGGTAGAGAATTACTGAATGTAGTTGTATGTACGTAAGAGAAGAATCTCAAAACAGTAGGTCAGCTGGACATGTAGGAAAGATGGCGGTTGACTTCAAGCGGTGAATATCTGTAGTTATCTTGCAAGCATCCTTTCGGAAGTATGTTCCAGGAAGTAGTGTTTCTTTTGTTAAAGTTTTCTTAATGGAACTTCTTTCTCAAGAATGAAATAGGAAGGGAAAGAATATAATTGGTTCCTGAGTATATGGCATTGCCGGTTTGAACTGATTTTTCTAAGGAATGTAATTTGTCTGAACAGTTGCTATTTTTATACTTTCATAAGGTTTTGACCACAGTATACGGTGTTAACTATTTGCCCATAGCTGGGACCTTAACGGTTGCTACCACCCCGTTTCAGGGTGCACCTAGGAACGCCAGCAATTAAGAGGTGGTTACACGCATCTCAAAACCTCTTGATCAGAAGCCTTGCTTTTGGATGTAGTTTATCGTTTATCCGTGGCGCTTAGTGGTTGCATTTAATGAATCAAATCCGGTTAAAAGATTTTGAAGGTTACCAAGGTTTGCAAGTTAGTATTGAGCAGGTTAGGCAGCATGTAATGATTTGTCATAGCCCGGAAATAACTTGGAGTAAGTCTTGGATTTCGCTGTTCTACATTTGTTACTAAACAACCCAGTAATTTCTAAGTAATTTCCTATATAGCAGGGAGTGCTTAACAATGCTTAACACAGAAGAAGAGACGCGAAGATGGTAATTTTCCATTGACATAACATGAATGTAATGAGGAAGTTTAAGGAAATTACGTGCTACAAGGTAGCGTATAGAAATAAAAAGGTAAAATTTCTGAGCCATGTCATCTAGAGGGCCTGGAATATTTAACACTTCAAATGACACAAGGAATATAAAAGGAGAGGGAGTGAACCGCTTGTAGCCTAATTTATGCTCTCGAATGAAGGGCTTAAAGAGCAAAGACAAAGACCAGTGGTAAATGTTAAAAAGAACCTTAGAAGACAATAAATTCGGAGCTGTAAGGAGCTATCTTCACTCGAATTATGATATCACATAGCAAACGAAAAATGATCCATAGAAATCTACCTGTTATGAATAATAACGCGCGGATTAGACGACTGAAATTGGCCGTTTAGATTTAGTCATATAAATAAGTTTCTTCCTGGTTTCGTCTTTAGTTGTGACATCAGTAAACTCGTCTTGTAAATAGTTTTTAAAAACGAGTTCTATCCTTATTTCTTTACACTCTATGTTGCATTTCGCCTTATTAAATTAAATTTATTTGGTATTTAAAGAATAATACATATTGGTTGGTTGATAGCAGGTTCGTTATTCACAGAATTAATATATGTTCCTGGCTTCACAAAAAACACTTAAAAAATATCAATTCCCTGGAAGACTGCAAACGGACGTCTGAGAAAGTAGTTCTTTAACGAGAAAGTAGTTCTTTAACGAAAAAGAAAACTGAATCGTTTTGAGATAATTAAATTAGGAAGTCATCTGAAAGATAACGGAGCCATACGTTAAATACGCTGTTCAATAAATTTAATGTCGAAAATAAATACGTAATTTTTTTTTCCTTTATTTTTTTAGTTAATAACACTAATGAAATTTTGTATGTTCCATAAGAAATGATTATATGTAACGTACATTGGTTCAATTTATTTTACAAAAATAAAGATAAAATATCTAAAATTAAAAATTAATAACATCCTTGAAATATTCATGAATGAATGCAGACATTCGTAAATAGATTGAGAAAATTCAACGAATCCTGTCAAATGCAAGTTAGTTTTAGAAAGAATAATTTCTCCATCCCTTAAAACCAGTCTTCAGAAGACGAATTGTTATTACTTACGAAGGCGAGCTTTGCTTGTCGTCAGGATGCAAGTGTAGCAGACATAAGGAACAATGAATTCACGAATAATGGTCAACAAAACAGGTTTGCAAACTACTGACCTACGCTTCTTCTTCTTTTTCTTCTTCTTTTTCTTCTTCTTTTCTTCTTCTTTTTCACGCCACAAATTCCTGTCATTTATAGCTCATAATAGTTTAGCCTTTTTTATCTCTCCTAAATCCTTTTCTGCCAGCAGCAGCTCAAGAGGAAGAATGCACATCGTTTTTCTCTGTCACATTTGCCTATAATATATCCAGTGAATACCAAATTTTCCAGGCCGTCCTTCTTCCTGATGTACCTCAAAATGTTCAACTCTTTCTTTCTGATGTTAATTATAAGTGTCCTCTTTATTTCTGTTTTCTATAAAACAGTGTCATTAATATCGTGTTCAGTTCATGGTCTTCTAAAAATTCGTCTATAGAACCATTTATCTATTTCTTCAAGTCTCTTGTGAGGAGATTGTCCAGCACTCTGTGCCATAT